TTATTCCTATTTCATCTCTCAAATATGAAAAGCATCTCAAGTACACGAGATACATACACTTGCAATGTATCTGCCATGCTGATGTTCTTTTATTTCCTGCATTCTGTGATATGCTGCATTTAGGTTCATTAAAGCTCTATACATTTGAGTCACAAGAAATTGCAGAGTAAGAAGAAACTTTGACAGATTTTCATTTGTCACTTTGTTGTTTTTTGTCCTGTTCCAATGAGGTCGCAGAGAAATCCTCTATGAATACTTCAAACTATTTTGTGCTAACTTTTCTCCCAAAGGTGTTTTATATATTTACAAGGCCACCTAAAATCTGTATTGTGGATATATCTATTGGCCTCAATAAGCCTGCACACATGGCAAAATTCTTAGAAGTGTGACTTAATTACTGCTAAGGTGTATTATAATTTTGCCTGAAAGTTGCTGGAATCTTTGGAAGCTTGAGGCCTTATCTCAAGGAATATTTAAGCAAACGTGTTCTAATGTATCTTAAAAAGTAATGATAGTTTTGCCTAAAACATGGGCTAAGCTAAAATCTTTGGTTTAATTATAGCTTTTAGCATCTTAATTGTATATCATTAAGAACTAAGAGAACCGCATCTTTCCTAATGTAATCCAAATATAAGACAAAATAAATTTGAGAGTCAAGTAAGAGAAATACTTCCTAAATCCGACCGGTTTAAGTGCCTGTAATTGTTGTGCTATCTCTGGAGTTCGCAAGTATTTTTGGATAGGGGTGTGGGGTTTAGCCAAAACAATTAAAACTCTTGCCAGCCTGAAGGTGCCATTTTCTCCGAATGGATCGATCCAGAAGCCCCTTGCACTTGCTGGGAAGCTGTAAGCTTCTGTCAGACATATAGACAAGTTTTCCAATGTGCTGCTTATGATCTGCCTATGCAGATCAGCCAAAACAGGAATGTCTGAAAGAGTTTTAAAGAGGGGATGTAAAGCTTGGGATAAACAGAGAATTGAAAATAATCTCAAAAAATTGAACTTGATCTGCCTTCTTTGAAGTTAAAGTGATTAGAATGGAGCAGGCTGGGATTTATAGACTTCATAGGCTGTGGGAGGGACTTCAAAAGCACAGAGGTGATAGATGAACATGTTTTTTCAGCTGTGCGGTGACAAAAATGCAACATGGTTTCAGGGCTGTTACAACAACAGGAAGAATTTGAAAACAAAAAGTTCTAATTTTAGTCTCTGCCAGTCATTCATGTTTCAGACTGACTGCCTCCTACCTAGGATGCTCACCTTGAATGCACCTTCAGCAGAGCACAAGGCTGATAAATACTAAGAAATTCTCAGTAAATACACAGAACAGAGACACAGGAACCACCAGGACCATTTTTAAACTTTAGCTTTGAAAACTGGTCAAACCCACTCCTAGGATCTGAATTGGGATTTTCTATGGCTAGTACTGCATCCTATGCTGCTCTGTCTCCTTTCTCAGTACACAGGTTTCTAAGAGAGTTGCCTACTTCTGTTTCTCTGTTAGGACCATCCCATTGTGTATGAAATACTCAAATACTGGGAGCAGTAGGATGCTTTTAACTTCTCATTTGGGACAATCTGCCCTATTAAGGACATTTGAGTTTTAGGGTTAAAATCTCCCCAAAACATCTCCAATTTAATCTCACTTTTGGGCAGAAGGAGAGAAAACATCATGGACACTGGTGAGTCTAGTCCTTCCTCCCAGGAAAATATTTCCAGCTAAACTATTCAACATCCAACTCATTAATCAATTAGAGTTGATCACAATTGTATTTTAGTGAATAACTCATCTACCATTTTCTGTCCTAATAGTGCACACTTCGCTGCTGATAAGTTTAAGAAGTACTGCACTTTGCACACAAAAATTAAACTGACTCTCAGATGAACTGTTTTTTTCCAGCTCCCCTAAATGTTGGCACACTCTTTGCAATAAGAATATGGTAGGAAGTAGTTTACAGACTTAATCAAACTGTGCACATGAATGAAGTTATTAAACATGTAAGTTTTTGCAGGGCATCCTAATGCTACAGTGATCTCCTTAAGACAGTTCTGCCTAATACAAAAAGATCCATATTTGCAGACTGGGTGAATTAGCATTCCGCTTCTGCATGCTTATGGCACTTGCTTAAGCAGCCTTAGCCTTGATCAAATCTGCATGCTCCTACAATCCAATTATTAAAATACAGAGCACTGCTTTCTGTTCTACATCATACTATGAAGATTCTAAAACAGTTATGGATAAACAAACAACTTGCTACATAAAAACTTATTTAAAAATAGAATTATTAATGAATATGTGTTAAAACAGTTACTTTTACAATATATTTTACTTTCTTTGCTGGTTCTTAAAATTAAATTTTCAGTGAGATTCTAGGGGAATTCTTTCTCTACAAGTAGGAGGGCATGTCCTTAATTTATGGGTTCCACAGGAAAACAGAAGGCACAAATACAGCTGTATTTTAGTCATCAGAAATGCAGAGCAGACCCTGCAGTATCAGAGTATTTTCACACACATGTTCCTCACCCACATGTGTCCAGATCACTTACTTCCCTGCTTTAGCCCTCTAGCCCACACTCACCTGACTTGATGATCTCAGAGGTCCAGCTGATTCTATGATTCTACGACAAGCAGGAAAGCTGATCTCCACAAGGCAGCACATGCAAAACCCCTAATTTTTTCTGTATATTTTAAAACTTATTTCTCTGGCAATTGTATTATGCAAAGGTGTCATGAAAATTAGCAAGAACAAAACCAATAGATTTCTACAGTAATTATTTAAAGCTTATTCTAACAATTTACATAGGTTTAGGATAGGTTACTGATGTGCAATTCAGTGTGGTGATTTAAAAAAAAATAAATAAGAGTTATAAAACTAAAAGTAATACTTTTCCATCTGCTCTGAGAAGCTTTACAGCATTTTAAAAAGCACATAAATGATTTGACCACAATGGAAAGGCAGTGGGCAAGGAGGGCTTAAGGTAAAAAGCTGATATAGAAACAAATTATTCCAGTTTTATCAAGTGACATGCTTATTTTGTTGAATTGTAACATTACACTAATATTAAAATTTCAATTTAAACTTACTATATAAATTTAATGTTCAGCTGCCCAGGCAAACAACTGAAATAATTCTTCTAAACTGTTTAATCTAACTAGTATTTGTTTCCTGTTTTGACATTATCTGAAAGCAAGATAAATATTCTATAAAAACAGTCAATTATCTCAAATAATTCACATGAGAAATTTAAATTCCTCTTTGTTAATCCTCTCAGTGACAATGAAAAACCATCAGGAGTAGTTCCTTTTAATTAAACCACACTAAATAATTTTCAAACAACCTTCAGGATCAACACAGGTCATGAGTGGAGTAACTTTAGCATAGCCAGTCAGTAACTCCCTGCGTGGCCACAGCAGGCTGCATCCATCCACTGGTCTCCCTGCAGCCTGGACTATAGCAACACAACGGAGGCAAGGAAGCACAGTGGTGGTGAGCTAAGCGGGAATGGTCAGAAAAGAAGGCCAGATGCTTGCTGGGTAAAGTTTGTATAACTTTGAGAATTATTTGTTTGTACTTTTAATTACAAAGGTAAGGAACTTCTGAACTGTGGGTTGTGGTGGTGTTTTGGTGTTTTTTTTAAGGAACTCTATTTTTTCCACCAGCAGCCAATAATGAAAACTAAAATAAGCATCAAGCTTATTCCTTTGCCGTCTTTGCCGTCAATTTTGCATCAGTGTGGCCCTACACACCTTATCTACACCTGGCCTGTGTCAACTTGGCAAGCCAGAATGCACGATGCTCTCCACAGACCGGAGCCCCTTTCCGCTTACGCAACTGCACCGGCAGCCCGAGCTTCGGGAACGGGAATAATACGCCTTGGACAGAGGGAAAGGGAAGAGTAGTCATCGATTTTGGAAGGTGGGTGGGGGGAATGGGGGTGCCATTTTCCTAATGTAATTGGAGGAGAATTCGGGCGGTGGCAGGCCATGAGCTGGTGTGACACTGCAGCTATGGGCTTGCACAGCGCGGCGACAGCAGCACCGAGGCTGAGGGCGGCAGCACCCGCTGCTGGTAGCCCAGGGCCGGCAGGAGCGGCCCGGCCCCTGCGGGGTGCTGGGCGGGACCGCCGGGTCAGCAGCAGCCGCCGCCATCTTAACTGCGGGCAGGGCTCGGCCGTGCCATGTCCGTTGAGGGCGGCTGTGGGGCACGGGAGCGCGCGCAGGGCGCTGCAGGTGGGATCCGGGGCCGCGCTCCCGCTCTCCGCGGGGCCGGGCCGCTGGCAGCGGGACGGCAGGTCCCGGCGACGTGCGGGGCTGAGGGGAGCGCATGCAGAGCAAGGAAAGAGTCTTGCTACTGCTTGAAATAGAAGCCTGCACGGCTTTGCTGGCGGGACGCTTTTCCCCACGGCGTCCCAGGGTGGGGTTTGCGGGGCTCCACGCCTGCTGCCATCCCGTCCGGCGGCGCCGGCAGCGAGCTGCCGCCCTGGGGCAGCGGGAGAGGGAGGAGCTGGGCTGCGGGGAGTCTCTGTCGGAAAGATTTGCCTGCAGGATGAGGGAGAGGGAGTTGGATTTTGTTCTTCGCAGCCTCCAAAAATAGCCGTCCCCGAGAAACTTTCTACGTGGGGAGTTTTCTCTGAGGTGCCCTAGATTTCAGTGGGAGATGAGGCTGCTGCGCTGTTTCTTTGCCTTTTTCTAGGATCAAAAATGTGACTTGCATCACCGGAGATGGGTAGCAACAATCTCTTTTCTCTCGCAGGAGGCCGTAAGCAGTAACAACAAGCTGTTGCCTGTCAGGTGTGAACGCCTTGTTTTCCTGCACGGAGTTCAAAGGGGTGTTTTTTGCAAGAGGTCAGAGGTCTGGGATCCGGGCGGTTGAGCTGGGTAAGCTGTTAACTTAGGTCGGGTCAGCTGCTTTTCTTATTTTTTTTATTGTCGGTTATATATTACCGTACTCAGACATAGGGCTACCCATCTAAAATAACAAGCAGCTAGCAGGACCAAGGGTTCTTCAAATTGTTTCTCTGTAATGTATTATCACATGACAGGGTGCATACTAAATCATAAGATTGTAGTGTAACTTAGCCTGAAAAGGGCCCTTCCTGTGCCACCTGGCCCAGTCCCTTGCTCAAAGCAGGGCTGGCCTCAAAAGTTGCACTAAGTTGCAACTTAGGGGCCTCGTCCAGACCTGAATTAGGAGCTCCCTCGTGAGTACTTCGCTTCCTGGAAGGTAAAATGGTTGCAATCAAACTGCCTGTATCTGTTAACTAACCTGCAGTCTCTCTCCATGTAGAAAGGAGCACGTGCTAAAGACTACTCTTTCCAAACAACTAACAGCTGTGCACAGCTAAAAGCCTTGGGAGGAACTTGGCAGGATGAAGCCTGTCATCGTGGTGCATGGTGGAGCTGGACGGATCTTCAAAGAGCGAGAAGAGGGATGTCGTGCTGGCACTGTCAGAGCTGCGCTTCGAGGTTATGGTGTCCTGAAACGTGGAGGAAGCGCCGTAGATGCAGTTGAGGAGGCAGTACAATCAATGGAAGATGATCCTCATTTTAATGCAGGTAATTTTTCATGAATTAAGTGGGCTTAAAATCGTCTTGTATTTCAAGTGTTTTGCCCTGATGCATCTGAAAATCCTGGCTTGCATTATTATTGAATTATGCACGTTGCAGTGGAGCAAATACTGGTTTTGCAAAACAGTTGATTACTCAGTATAAAACGGCGTGGTGTATACAGCAGTTTCTCATGAGTGCACTGAGGAGGTTGAGTTACTCCATTCTCATTCTTCTCCCATTTCATTCATGTGGTGCTGTTCGTTACTGTGCTGTGTACATTCAGTTTTAAGACATGGACTGTATTATGGAGTATGTGTTTAATTAACATTCATGTTTAAGGCACTTTGACGTAGCTTGCAGCATTTGTTTAACCCTTAACACTTTACCTATTGCCAGAGGAGTACTGTTCTTGGGGATTTTAGGTGTTTTTCTCTTCATTAATGCTTGCAATTAGTTTTTTATAAATAATGTTACAGAAGTAATGCAGTAATGGTATGTGAGTCATGAATCTATACAGAAAGGGTTCATAACTTGATTTTCTAATGAGTAATGGAAAGTAATGGAAGTAGTCAAGTATTTTCTCCTCTTAATATGACTCGTTTATTATTTTGATAAGTTTCAGCAAATATATTTCCCCACTCTCACCAGGGTATGTCAGGAATAAACATGGAAGGAAAGACCTGTCAGTGATCAGTGCTTTAGATAACATACCTATTAGTTATGCGCTCAGTTATTTTACAGAGGTTCATTTGTTCCCTCTTACCTTGCAGTTAAGAGCAAGGGAGAGCTTTTATTTCATATGAAACTTTCAGTGTTTTGTTACTGACTTGGGCTGAACACCTTGATTTTTAGAACATCCTATCTGAAATTAAGAAGCAGACTTAGATGTGTGGTGTGGACTATTACATAGTTAGCATCAGAGTGGCATTCTCTCTTTTAGTTTTTACTTAACTGGACTTGAGCCTAAGCACTTGTTCAGGTTTGACTGTGCTGATCTAAAGCGTGGCAAATAGTCTGGTAATCACGGATATCTAACTGTCTCATTAGATACAGCTGCTCTCAGTAGCTGGCAAAAATGAGGTGAAAGCTATGTGAAGAGGACCCTGATTGGAGTGGCTCTTTAAAAGTCACTGTGTGGTATTTATCTTTGTAAAAGAAAAAATCTGGTTTGCTGTAATATTTTCTAGGAAAACACGGACACTGCTAAGAGACAACAATAAACATGTGGAAGAATGGGCATAACAATCAAATTGTGTCCTTTTTTGAATTACAGGGTGTAGCCATTCTGTGTAGGTTCATCTCAATATTGGCTTGGTAGAAAGGCTCAGAGGCTATACTGTTGTCTAAAACTACCATTCTAGTGACTTGTGCAGCATAATGAAACCATCCAGTTCTGGCTGTGATGAGGAAGGGACCTTGGTTCTGTCTCCCTCCTGTGATTTCTTTGGGTAGCAGTGTTAATCAGCTTGGTGGGAATATTACAGATATAAGAACTGACACTGTAGTGGTCCTCACACACTCTTTCTTGCACAGCCTTTGCATGGCACAGGACAGATCTGTCTGTCTGGAGACAGAGGGAATTGGAGTACTCCTCTCAGTACCCCACATGTGATTTGGCTAATCTCATATGTTCGTTACTTATATCCCCTTAGATTTTCTGCCTTGTCTCTGTTCTTTTCCCAGCCTTTTGCTGAACAAGTGAGCCAAATGTGGTTTTTTTCAGCACTGCTGCCAATGGATACCATGGCCTTGGAGGCTGGTAGTCCCTAGCCATTGCTTTGAAAGGCGGGTGAAAAGGCAGTCTGTAACCATCCTTCTCATCCTGCCTGAGATATCCTGAAGTTCAGTATCTGGCCTTGTTGTAGTGTACAGACTTTCATGGTGGTCAGTGGGATGAAAAAGGTAACTATACAGCTAAGATGTAGTTGTGGATGCCCCATCCTTGGAACTGTTCAAGGCTAGGTTGGGCAGGGCCCTGAGCAATCTGATCTAGTGGGCGACATCCCTGCCCATGGGGAGAGTCCCTTCCAAACCAGGGATTTCTATGATTCTATGGCAGGTGGGATGCATTGTTCTTAGAGGGCACCTGTCCCTCTTCACCAGCTGTAAGAGGAGGCTTTTGTAGGAAGCTGCCTTTGATTAAAGAAACTGCATCTGATTTCTGCTCAGGAAATTTTAGGAATTCCTAAAGTGTATCCCATGAGAGATGTCCAGTATACATAGGAATACTACTAATGCAGTGATGAAGGGGCCTGGTAGCGTTTCCCCTGGAATCGTGGTTCTGGTCACTGATACTTAAGAATCTCCCAGTTCTATTGGGAATTTCAAGGTCATGGGCTAGAAAGCCTATCTTGTCAAAGGAAGTTAAAATTTTGAGTATGGCAGGGTTTAGCTAAGTAAACAAAAACTACTTACTCCTTACCACCATAAAGGAAGAGCTGGAAGAATTATGTTAAAGCAGATGGCACAAGGCAATTAACCTATAAGCTCTTTACAGATCAGTGTAGTCTAGAAATTAACACATTGTGAATGATGCAGGCCTGAACTCTGGAATAGCTTATGCAGTTGCAGACAGGCAAAAAATAGCTTTTGGGGAGTTTGTCTGTATGTGGCAGGGGAAGTTTGGGAGATTACAGCAGGAGGATTACAGGATTTTGTTGCCTCTTGTTACAGGGGATTTGACTTCATATATTCAGGTCTGAAGTACACTGGTATAGAAGTCTTATGTCAGTTATTAACAGTGTTTTCTGACCTGCTTTAGTACTGGTTTAACAGAAAGAAAAAAAATTGTTTTAGCTCTCTGCAATGTTCAGGTCTTTCTACCTGAAGTGCTGTGTAAATCTCCCATGTTTTGGTTTGGCTTTTTGCTTCTTTTTAGGTTTAGTCTTCACCATCCTTGTTAGCAAGGCTTGGTGCACTTGATGACTTAAAACCTATTATTCCCCTGTGATACAATTATTGGCATTACTTAAAAAACCCACCCTATTTGCTTTGTCTCATTTTTTATCTCATTAGTTTTCAATTAGGTTAGTAATAGCACTGATAATTATAGAAGAAAATAACTACCCAACGTTTTATTCCTTGCTTTTTATTTTTTTAAATTACTTTATCTACTGTTTTTATTTGGTAATGAAGAACTTATTTCAGGCTTTTGCTACAGTAGTGAGTGGATGCTTTTATTCTGCTTCATTAATTTTGGCAGTTTCTTGGAGTGCTGTGTGACACTGATCTGTTGATAGGATCAAATGCTATAGTATTTCTTTGGGTTATGTTGTATCCTCCTTTGGAAGAATTGTAAGGTAAAATAATTTTGTGCACTTGAAGTGATCTGAGGAATAAAGAATTCTGTTCATGATTGTTTGTTGTTTTAACTTTTGGATCAAGTATATAATTTGGGATGTGTTTGGAGGTGTTTTTCATCTTACATAAAATAAAACTCGATTTTAAAGTAGATGTTGTACTCTGTGAGACTTCTCTTAATGGCTGGATTTTGTGGTTATACTCAGCAGTGTTTCTGCTGAGATACTTTCAGTAAGTCAGCAAACTGGGAAAGAGAAAAGTTGCTTGGTAAGAGCTAATAATTGAATCACCTGGTGGTTAGATCTTAATGACTTTCTTCTCTTTGTCTTCCTAATGTTTTTTTCTTTTGTCTTTAGGTTGTGGATCTGTTCTAAATGAAAAAGGTGAAGTAGAAATGGATGCCATTATAATGGATGGAAAAACTTTAGACTCTGGAGCCGTATCTGCAGTTAAATGCATAGAAAACCCAATAAAACTTGCTCGACTTGTTATGGAAAAGGTATGCTGATTATGAAGCACATTTTTCCTTAGAACTTCATTGGTGATGTTTGTGTAGGGCTTTAAAGCAGAAAAGAAGGGAGCAATAGATGAAAGTGTTGGGAAGCTATGGTCATGACCATGAAGCATTTTTATTTTAAGGGTTTTTGAGACATATTTATTTAAAAAAGTAATATTCTAAGAAAACATAAATTCTGCTGCGTAACTGGAAACTCAAGGAGAAATCAAAATACACATGTTGGTCTCCTGTAGTTCCACTATTTTGTTCACTTGTTTTTTGAAGAGCTTTTATGCTGTCACTGAGTCTTCTGCTTGATTTCACAAAGTTGGATAATGCATTGTTCACTTTGCAGTGATAATGGCACTGGATTAAGTGACGCAGTTACATATTTGGCTATGTAGTGCATTCTTACATTATTCCAGATAGTCTTCTCCATTGTGACCTGTCATATGGTAGCTCTAGCGCTGAGTCAGTCTTCCAGCAGTAGAGGATAAGAGGAGCTCTGTTTGGGTGGTGACTGATTTTTCAAGAGAATCAAATTTATCAGGGCAGCAAAATGATTATTACTTGACCTCCTACATAATATCAGTCCCACCTTACTCCACTAAGAATCCCACCTAGTATTTGCCACAACAGACTTATCTTATTTTTCAGCCACGGTGGCTACTGGTGTGCATCAGGATGAAGCAGATCATTTGTGTGATATTTGCATCTGTTTTACTTGGCAGCGATCAAAGAGTCTGTACTGTCTTTGGAGTTTACACTTTTCATCCTGCTCATGCAGCTGCCCCATTGTTGTAAAGGGTTCTTACTTGCAAAACCACTTAATAACAAAGACTTCCATGTTTCTTTAACCTTTTGAAGTGACTTTTGAGGAAACCAAACCTCTTTTGGTGATCTATAAAGATGCTTGAAATTTAATTTGTCCTCAGTGGCCTCCCAGGCAGATAGGACTTTTTTGTGTCCATAATTGGAGGATAGTCCTGCTCTTAAAATCAGAACATTTTACTAAAGTATTTAATATAACTACTTTGTTTTCTGGAAGACATACATTTCAATAATGGTAAAACTTGCAATGAATAAGGTTTTTTTCCTTCACCTGGCTTTTATTTCGTTATTCAGCTAGAACAATAGTAAGTATAGGTGGTAGACAGCTTCACAAAACCAAATTTTTCAAAATTTGTGAATGTAAGTGAAGGGTTGGGAGAGAGATGTCTTTAATGTGTTGTATTTTACTTAATTTTATTCCTAGAGAACTTTTTTTAATGCCCATTGCTTTACTTCATATTCCAGAACCACTGGTTTATTTTCTTGTCTTGTCCATGACAAAATCCTATTTAAGTCAACACAATACTTTGGATTTTGAGAATATAATTTTACAAACTCTGTTTTTAAAATCAAACAAACAAACAAATAAAAAAAACCTCCAGCAAACAAAAAACCCTCTCCTTTTTACATCTTGTCTCTCACAAGGTGTTTTTGTCATTGTGTTGCTTCTGATGCTTAGAAGCGTTGAGGCTAAATTTGAAACAAAATCATAAATTCTACTGTACAGGACCAAGTATAATGGTGTAGTCCTAAAATCTTGACGGTTTTGCCCAGAAAAAAAAAAACAAAAAACAAAACACCTCTGTAGATGACAAAGTTCAAATGTAAATGGACTAAATTGCTTAATATAGCTCAAGATGAGTTTCTGCTCCTTCTCCATCAGGTATTATAAATGGGAATACCAACTGATTCTGCTTTTCTGTTCATCTTGGACAGGAATTTGGGACACCAAGCTGGGCTATTTCAGAGTGTGTTTCATAGTATGTTTTGTTTTACTGTGCATAATTAATTTTCTTTCAACTTTGTGACCCCATGGGTATAAGACTGTAATTCCCCTGGGGTCTTAAGCATTTGTGAGTATTTTCTAGTGGTTTTGAGATGCCTCAGTGCCATAAAGAATTTTGAAGCATGCAGTTTCCAAAAACAAACCAACCAACCAAAAACACTCTCCCCATCTGCTTGTAATTGTATTTCCGTCATATGGAACAGTATGGGCTCCATCTGGTGGCCAGAGTAGCTCCTCGAGATTGTTCTTGCACACATTTATCCCTCTGTGCTGACGCTTTCACACAGGGCTCAAACTTGTCCAAATCTATCAAGTAGAAAAAAGGAGGGCACCAGAATAATTTCTATTCAGCATTTACCGGGCTGTTGATCACACGAGGTTCTAGAGGTGGAAGTCTTTTACTATGTTAAGTAATGTTACAAATTCTTGAGAAAACGGTTACATGTCTGTTGAATTATTCCTGTTTGTGGTGAACATGAATGGAATGATACATTGAAATTTATTTTTTTTCAAATAGGGGGTGTAACCCCTCCTGTCTCCAACACTTCATTAGATGGGCTTCTCATGAACATCAGAGAACTAATTTATTGCTATACATGAACTGTGTATGTTTTCCCCTACTGTATTTACAGCCCCTTTACATTAGACAAAGGAGAATTTAGCTTAGAACACAGACTTCTTAAAGCAAAGGGCTGGATTTTTGCTGTGCTCTGCACTGCCAGAATTGTTAAATAAAGAACTGTAACGATCTGAATTTCACATCAGCTGCAGAAATTTGGGGGATTTTCTCTATTTCCCATGAAATTCACTAAACTTGCCAGCATTTTTTCTTGTTAGTGAGATGTCTTGAACCTTTTTTTTTTTTGTCCTTTTGAATTACTTTTTATAAAAATGTCTCCCCAAAAAATTAGGCACTCTAAGTTAGCATACCTATTCTTGAAACTGTGGACAGATGAGACAGAAAAGCATCCTTTTGTGTTGTTCTACCAACTCTTTTGATTGACAAGATCTGTTGAAGAGAATAACAAACACGATTCTCCCCAAGATAACTTCTTTCAGTCAGGACTGAAAAAGAAAAAAAAAAAAAAACCCACCACAAAACCCTGTCATATTCCTCTTTTGCAAGTATTTCTTGTTTGTGTGGCTTGGGAAGGTATGTTACCTGAATCTGCGTATGGGGAGGAATCCTTTGAAAAAGTTTTTAGCAATAACTTCCATTTTTCTCTGTAAAATACGGTAAAAACCTGTGTTTTTAAAAATCTTATTTAAAGGATCATATAGCCTTAATTGCTGAAGAAATCAAGTGATGGAGGACACATCTTCCTGCTAAAGACAGAAGAAAATTTCAGTGTCTTTCCCAAAAAACCCCACCAAACAAAAAAAAAACCCACAGTCACAAATAAAAAACAGAACTAGTTTGAATTTTGGATTGTGTACTTCTGATTGGGTTAGTGGCAGAAGGGGGCAGTATTGCACAAAGAAGTTGGCTTTCCAGCCAAAGAACACTACTCACTAGCTTTGTTAGAAATAGGTAGGTCTTATGTTGTCCAGTGATATCACTCAGCAGCTAAGCCTGATGTCCACTCTTTCACATATACAGAGGACTTATTCCTTTAAACCTTTATTCTTGTTCCCTAAAGCAATACTCTCATGAATTAAAGATTAATTAAAAGGCATTTAAATTTCAGAAAATGTTTGATTCAGGGCTGCATCATCAGGAATGTTTCTGAAGTGTAGCCACATTTCCCACCTCTGTAACTGCCCAAAGGGGTTAGTGCAGAGGCTGTGATAGGCTTAAGTAGAGATCAGTGTCTGATTTGGGAAGATGTTTGCTTGGAATCCTTTAATAAATAATGCAGTGCTATGGGTTGGTCAGGGTAGTGATTACTTGTCATTGCTTTGGAAATCAACAGAATTTGATGGTCTACAACGTCTTAACAATGCAAAGCTTTGAGAGTCTAAATGTCCTATAGAATGTAGCAGAAATGCCATCCTTGCTTCTGGCTGAGAGCTGTATATGTGCTTATTTTTCTAACATAGATTTTAAAAAAAACCCAACCAAATGAAAGAAATCAGATTTTAGAGCTACTACTACAGTTTAAGGATTATTTAAACAAATTTATCTGGCAGGTTTCTCTAAAATATGAATTAACCAAGCTGTACAGATTTTGAAGCATGGAATTAACTAAGGTTGTTGAATTAAACTCTCGTCAAAGTGCTTTGTAAATAAAGGAATCCAAATAGAACTTGCAAATGTTATTAGAAGAGAGCAAACGTATTTTGGTCAAGCCCATTAGAACAGTATTCTATTCTTAAATTTGAAATTCTGAGTCTGTAAGAATAGCAGCTACTTGAAGGAAATGTTTAAAATAAAATTATTCCATTGATGTTAAGAAACACTTCACTATATGATATTTACATTTGTTGGTTAAATTACTATGTGAAATGCCTTTAAAGGGAACAGGAGTTTGTTTACCATTCCTCTAAGTAAAATCCTTCTAGATCCCTTAGTTAACTGGACTAAACAGTTAGCCATGTAGTTATTTGGTGATTGACTGGAAACAGAACAAAGAGATTGCATACAAATTAGCAAAATAACAAATTTATCAATTTTTCTTTTCCCATTATAGTAAGTGTGCAGTAGATAAATGCAGTTTTCTACTAATAATAAAAGTTTGTATCTGTGTTTTGGAGAGCTGACTTTTTTTCAGCTATAGTGGAAGGGGATATGGATATAGAAATCTAGAAAGTTTAAAAATAAAATGTGGATTTTGCTTTGTGTGGATACACCTAAAAATAAAGAGTGATTGTACAGAGCTGCTCAGTACAAGATAAAACAAGACTTGTCAATGAACCTCTTGTCTGTCTTCTGCAGACAAAGCACATGCTGCTGACTGATCAGGGTGCACACCTGTTTGCTCGGGCTGTGGGTATTCCTGAGGTTCCAGGGGAGAAACTAATAACCGAGAGATCCCGTGAGAGGTGGAAGAAGAACCTTGAGCCGGATTCCAACCCTGGAGAGTTTCAGAAGTAGGTAAAATTTTTCTTAAATTCAGGTAATTTCATTTGTGCTATCTGGTTACCAAAACACAACCCACAACAAAAAAAAACAACCAAAACCCCTCAAACAAACCAACCAAGAAAACATACAAAACCAAAAAAACCCAACCAAACAAACTGTAGGTGAAGGCTTGTATTCCAAATGTTACCTGGTTTGATACAGTCTTTACAGCATGTCTTCGGTGAAAGTACTGGAAAATCAAGCTTTCAGTGAATTTGCTCACGTTTAAATGACTGGAACAAACTCTAATAAACTTGTTGCTGCTTAAGGAGATTGCTTGTCACTTTGACATAGAATAGGTTAGAACTTGTTATTCCTCTTAAAATTGCCAGCTACAGAAGTGCATAGAGCAGCTTTAAAAAACAGCAGGTGTGATTTTGTATAGCTCTTTTCCATGGAGGAACTGTGTTTTTAAAAAATCTCCAGTACACATTTCAAAACAAGTCCATAAAAAAAAAAAATTAAGAAAGCTGATCTTGGTTAAGTAGGTGATCATATTTGTCTTTTAACTGGATTGGGTAGTTAAATGACATCTTATTTTGGCCAGTAACTCCATTGGAGTGCTGATTGTGGCTATTGGTTACAAAAAGGAATGAAAAAAAAAAGACCAAGAAGTTCAGTGGTAGGTATGAAGTGAGACGCTACTGGATGGTATTGCCCAACACCAAAATGGACATCGCTTGAAAAACAAGCCAGTCTCACATAAAGTAAAGAGGAAAGTGAGGTGGACAGTAAAGGAATGAAAAACATGAGGTGCCAGAAATGGGGTTTATGCCTGTGAGGTAGGGATAAATACCAAGTTGCTTTGAGCTTCCATTTGTATGTCAGTGGTTGTGGTGCAGGAAAGCCCTGTATTGCATTACATATATCCTGTACTACGTCCTGTTCACCTGTGTTTTTAAATAGTAGTAATGAGAGAAGCGGAACTGAATTTGTAGATCAAAAGGAGTAAATTTCTTCTGTGGGCACCTTAATTAAAGGCTGTGAAACAGAACCACGAGCTATATGTTACTTTCAGTAAATTGCTGGCATGAAAAACAAATTAATGTGGCAAGCGTAAATATGGTAAACAAAGTGATGTTGTTCCCTGTCTATAAGGTCTCAGTCATAGTTCATCTTGTGCACAAAATAACTTTTCTTTCGATACATGGTCTGTCCAAGGACCATGTGGTATTACCATTCATTATGAAGAATTTTGAGGATGGTGTAGCCCCTACTGCCACTTGGTCTCGTAAACATATCAGTTGGAATGGTGTGGCATCTAGGTCTTCATTCATTCTTCATAACTGCTTAATTTTTTAAGTTTTTTTTCCTGATAACAGTGTTAGGCATCTTCAATTTCAGCATTGTCTTGCTCTGGAATATCTGATAATAGAGCACTTGTATATCTCTGAAGGGCTCAAGGCTTTTTCTTGTATTGGCCACCCTGTTCTTTTTCTGAAAACCAGTGCCCAAAACATCAGCACAAGTTCACGAAGTTGAAAACAGGGGGTTTTTTTATGCAAGCCCATTTCTTTCTGTATCACATGTGAAATATTCTTTTTCTCTGTGTCCACAGTGATTACGCAGAAACTTGCCTGAGGCAAACAGACAGAAGGTGAAGTAGTGTTAGTCAAAGGCAACATAATGCCAGATCATACTGGGAATTTGAAGGTTGGTGTGTACTTAACTTCCAGTGCTCTGGTCCTGAGAGTGTTGTAAACTGTGGGGTTTCATAGGCTTTCCAGGCACCTTTCTCTGGTGTCTCCATGAGAAATACCTTTCTCTTCTGCTGGTTGGAAGACTGCATTCATTTGCGTTAAAAGCTCAGGATTCCATTGCATGTACGACATTCCAACTCGCACGCCTTTTGCTGAGAACAAGGTGTGGTTTGATTTATCTGCAGTCTCTCACTCCAGAGATTCTATCCATACCTTTGATAAGAATTACTGGAGGTTGCCTGAGAACCCCATAGAAGGGGAATTGAGTCTGCCTGTAGTAAACAGGTTCCCAGCCCCTCTGTGGATCGCACTGCATGAATTACTCGAGGAGGTGTTAAGTAACAAGGACCCTGACAGCAATAAACAGAAAACCCTACTACTGGTGCAGGGCTAAGAGACAAATAGCAGATACCTTATTAGTTGAATGGGGATAGAATAAGCACGTCACTTCATGGGTACCGGATAATGAAAGATTTAGACAAGAGAGAATGAATAAATCCAGCTAATATATTTTGTATCACAGTATATGCAGTATATAAGAATAGTTCTTCACTGAAAAAAATCCCTAATAGCATCCTCTGGTATACCACAGGTACTTGCTGAGGTTTCTGCTACTGTCAATAACTAAAAATAGAGAGAGCATTATAGTATGGTATCTCTACTTAGGCAGTTTTGCCTGCCTTGGTAATGTTTTGGAGTCAACTATCCCTGCAAAAAACCTGTGTATATCTTCTTTACCTTTGTTCTGAAGATGAACAAAGAAAATATTACACTGAAGCAATAAAAAAGTTTAAAGGGGCAGTAAGAAATGAAATACAGTTGTTTATTTGCTCACTGACGATAAGGTATGTTGCACCCACCCACTTTGGAATTTATCAACAGTTGTGCTCTCATACCAAAACAGATAGCTGCTGCCTGTGTGATCTGTGTGCTTTTATTCTCACAGTTGCTTAAGGTAAATACTTAACTAGGAAAATATACATCTGGATGCACCTTTCTTAACTTCTCAGGAGGATCTAACTTTAGTTGGTTGAAGGGTGCCACATGAATGTGCAAGAGAGTACTGATTTACTCATGTTCTTTTCAGCAAATCATTTGTAACAGATGGATGGGTGGGAAGCCCATCTGCACCCTCATATCAATTTGAGATGAGGTCCATATCCACATAAATGTCAGAGCAGTTTGTAAGGCCTGTGATTCATCAGTCAGCTTTGAATTGCTGTGAATGAAGTGTAGGGACTGACAGTATGATATTTTACATAAGCAGGAGCGAACAGGAAGTTGGTTTTCTGAGAAAGTAACTGTGGGTTTCAGGGTACACAAGGACTTTGTCTGACTTAATTAACTGAGATTTTGTAGAGCTGTAGAGAAACCCTCACCAGTGTCCAGGCAACTTCCAAAGGTATTCCTGTTCCAGTTGCCTGTTGGGTAGTTTGTTGAAAGATTATTATGAATTCTTTTCCTGTGTGAAGGGATTCAGATCATGATTTTATTTTTTTTTTTGTTAGCGGTTTTTGTCCCTATGTGAAATACTAAGATTGGAATATGTGGATTTTTAAACTGTTGCTTCTCACTAGTGTCTTGCTTCTCAGTGCAGCAACTGTTTCAGTAAGTTACAACAGGCTTTTTTTTTCTCCAAACATGACTACACATGCATATTTTGAGCAGTCTATTGTATATGTCTTTTCTATGCTGAAGAAATAAAGCAATAGTTGAGACTTCTGTTTTCTTCAGTGCATGAAGATTTCTAAAGTGATGTGCAGTTTCAACAGATTCTACTGGCCAAGTGATTTAAACCTCAAGATTGCTTAACTACAAAGATGAAAATATGTATTAATGATGCATTGTGAGCAGTACTAGTTGAAAGGCACATAAATAACCTTTTTTTTTTTTTTTGTAGCATTCAAACATTAGGGGGAGTAAGGAAGAGGAAAGAGGAGGAACAGGAAGGAAATGATTCAGTACATGCATAACATTACTGTCCTTTTCTCTATTCACTTATTTACGTACATTGTCATTAATAATTCCGGTTAACCTCCTCTTGAGACAGTGGAGCCAATTGTTGCATCTTGGAGTTGCCATCTAGGGGAAAGTTGTGTGTCAGTTTGTGTGTCAGCCAAAAAACTACTCCAGAACTATGATGACTAGAAGTATTTCTACCCTGTGTGCTTTTGCTTTGTGTGTTTTTCCTCCCCAAGTCAAAGTTTCCATGCTATGAAGGTAAACAAGTTATCAAAAAAAAGAGTGTTTTCTGCTCTGTTAAATATAAAGTGAGAATTGTTACATATTGCTTGTTATTTTTGCAAGGAGAAGCATAGCAAAGATAGCTTTATGATGAGCAGTACTTCTTTTGTAGTAATCTTTTTTAAAGCTACCTGGAAAACAAATGCAACATGCTTTGGCAGGTATGCTTTAATTCTATCTAATTTTGTGAACTGTTTTTCTTGGCAGAGACCTTGGAACAGTCGGTGCTGTTGCTATAGACAGTGAAGGCAATGTAGCTTGTGCAACATCCACTGGAGGACTCTCTAATAAACTGATTGGCCGTGTTGGTGACACAGCATGCATAGGTATGGGGTGTGGGATCTTGACTTTCATTTTTCGGAGGTATCTCATTTAAAGAAAGAAAAATAAGTATTGTACACTCTCCTTTTCATTAGTGAAGTGAACATAAATACTAGTACATCTGAAATGGAGATCCAACATTCAGATGTATCAAAGCTCAAGCTTCTTACAGCGTGGAGATTGCAAGAAAGGATTGGGAGTAGAGGTGTAGTGCTGTCATTGCCATCCAACACTTTTCTGTATGGAAAATGGGGATAGAAATTTCTTTTTTCTGTTCTTCCATAAATGTTAACAGTTTTTTCCTGTGTTTCCTTTTTGTTGGTTCTGATAAAGCTCTTGTTTTTTCACATCTGTGCTTTCAACTAAGTCAAAAAACGCAGCCTGCTCTATATTAAGATGCTGTTTTCTTGATACTTTAGGAAGTAGGTGTAATTGCAATCACTATTTGTTATATCAGTGAGTGAGAATTATAAAGTGACTGACAACTTTGAGTAAATTCCTGTTCTTAGAGAGCCTTGATAAGACTACCTCATAGCCTAATAGATTTGTTGTGGAATAAAGGAAATATTTTAAGAGACCTCTTATCCAAGTATAAAGAGACACTTAAAATCCTTTCCACAGACTTCTTCCTCTCGTGTGACAGACTTGCCATTTGATTGCTGTAGGGTTCTACCATACAGCTGGGATTTGGAAGATTATTCTTATTAGTAAAACATGTTCCAAACTCAAGTAGTACTGCTGTTGGCCGTATATGATTATTATGAAACTAATGCTATCTTTCTTTTGCACACGAGGTTACTAACATTTTGGTACCCTCTGCATTTTTACTATTGGCTATATAGTCAAAATATATTTGACTATATTTTTAGCTTCACTTCTGGCTACAGCTTTCTGACTGCAAATACCCTTTTGCGTAGGTTATGTTCAGGGTTCCTGTAGTTTGGGATGTGGTTCTGTGAAGGACCGTGAAAAGTGAAACTGGGCACTGTTGAGCATATTTTTTGCAACTTTTGGTCTCACTAGACATCTGCAGGCTTGGAAACAGAAAAGCTGTGCTTTTGAACATCAGAGGTTTAGTAAAGGGGCTTTGACAGACTGATTGTGGCAGTGTTTTTCCACAAGTAAATCAGGGTCCATTGAAAGGGTCTGATCAAGAAAGTACAGAAGGGAAGAAACTTTCATTGCTCTTCTAAGGCGTCTTTCCCCTTCCCCAGTACCTTGTCTGTAATGCTGTGGTATGTTTGTTTCTAGCTCCTGGGAAATATTTTTCTTAGGAGATGTGCTAGAAACATGGGTATTGAGCAAGCAGAAGCTTGATGGAGAACAGGGTGTGGAATGTCCCAGCAAAACAAGGATGGGACAGGAAAAAAGGGGAGAAGGGGAGTTCAACACAAAAAAAAACAAAAAACAAAACAAAACAAACAAACAAAAAAAAAAAACACCAACACTCTACTTGTAGTGAGGACTTGGAAGATTCTTCAGGGGTGCTTTGTGAGGTTTGACTAGAGCCCAGGCTCTTCAAATCTCTTTCAAGCTGTTGTGGGTAAGTTCCCCTCAAACTTTGGTCAGTTCACCAATGTCCTCACAAGATCTTCCTTCACATCTTCTCAGCTAGTAATGTTGTGTGACCTGGCATTCTGCATCCCATCACTATCTTGCTGGTCCTTGATATACCCTCCCTTGCTCTTCTGGAAAATATTTTTGCTCATCCCTGTGGAGTGTTGGTCTGCTTTTTGTACCACAAGCAGATCAGTAGTCTCTCTAAACTTGGCAACTGACTTGCTCCCACAGCTGTTTATCTCTTTCATGTATTTCACTTTTCAAACAGGCAGAAATGAGAAAGAAGCATTATTGACACTTTTCTCCCAGAAATGCAAAAAGCTAATGAACCTTTAGGATGAAATGTTCACTTCCTATTTTAAACAATGAAAACAATGAAGGGCTTATAAATTATATTATAGAATTAGAATATAGACTTTATTCCTTTTTTTTTTCCCCTCTGAAAAGGAAGTGGAGGTTATGCTGATAACCATTCTGGTGCCACTTCAACCACAGGACATGGGGAGAGCATTATGAAAGTGGTCTTAGCCCGACTGATCCTCTATCACATGGAGCAAGGTATATTCCAGACTTCCTGTAAGCTGAAATAATGAAGATAGGAAACGTTGATAATGCAGTTTTCAATTTATCTACTACTGTCAGAAGAGTTGCTCCCAGGGGTATGTGGATGGGTCGCCTCTCTTTAAAAACAAAATAAAACACTAAAGTATTAATAAAGCTAAACTGGCTGAATTGGACAGAATTACCTCTGCTGCCTGATATTTAATCATGCTTTAGAACAGTGTACATTGAAGACATTACTGCCTACTTTGTTTAACTGAAGTTCTCTTAAATAAGTTTTTCCCAATTATAAACTAAAGTTTTGTGAACAGGAAATAGAAAACAAGTAAAAGTAAGTTACATTTAAGGAAGCAGTAAGGGGGAGGGCTAGAGACATAATTAGAACTGAAATTAGAAGATATAGGATATTGCCTTTCTAATAAACTATAAAGGTCTTTATTTTAACAACTCTGATTACAGCAACAGAAATTCTTTTAAGAGTTTTTAACCATGATTTCAACTTTCATTTTGTTTTGGAAAATGTACTAAACTGACTGGGTGGGTACGTGGTAAACAGCTGACACAGTATGTCTTATGTGACTGTAATATAATCTGACTGTGAGATGACCCTTTGGAGCTTTACCTTCCTGAGTTAGTCTGTCATCTAAACCCTTGATTATGTTACAGCCTATAAACATAGCCAGACAACATACTTGTATTGCATGCAGTTCAAGAATCATTAATATAGATATCACCATTATTTTTAGAAAGCTGTAGCTTCGGGGCAGTACAGTGTAACTTGCTTTGAGATCAACCAAACTGGAAATAGTTGGAAAATGTTCAATTTACGCTTTCATTGGAGAAGCAGTAAGTAGGGAGACAAATGACAGCTGAGAATATTTTTGTTATGCTCCATAGAGCTGTTTGCATATAATTGGTGCATTTCTCTAAATCTCTGATATGACAGTTGCAGCATAAAATACAACCTACAGATTATTTCCCAAAGCTCTAATGCATTATGCTTTCCCTTACTCTCCATTTCATGTCTCTAACTATTCAATTTGTTAATAGAGCCTTCTAAGCTCTAGTCTAAACTGTGTAAACCAGTTTCTTCTCTGGCTTTAAGTTAACTGCACTGCACAACCTATGCATTGATAGCAGTTATCTGCGCTTGTGCTTAATCAGTATGAAAGGCAAGTGAGTTTCAAATTAAAAAGTTTATACAAAAAAGAAAAAAAGAAAAAAAAATGAACCCACACGTGTTCATGTCTAATTGGTTTGCACTTGTTCACCCTGCCAGTGCTTGCTTTACCTTCATTCATCCTGCCCAGAAGTATAACTCAGCTGCCAGGAAAATACGTCAGCAATAGACTCCCCCCGTCCCCCCCCCCAAAACATTTCCATGAAGGCACTGAAAACAAACCCTCAAGTTATTGTAACTTTTTGAGTCCTTGAACTGAAGTTGCATATTTGAGAACAACTACAGAGCTCTCATAATTCTGTTTAGCTATTCAGTAATTCACTTACTAAATATCTTCTTTTGCATGAATGCTGCAAAATTTACTTCCATATTTTAGGAGTGAATTGCTTTGCCATTCTTAGCAGCTGCTGGAATCTTTGTCTTATGGTGGCAGCTGTTGTCTTGGTGAAAAATCAAACAGTGAAATACTGACCCTTTGAAGACAGTGCCACTGACTTGAATAGTCACAGTGTCACCCGTACGTCAGAGAAAGGAGCTTTATCCTGTCAGTCACCAGTGCTGTGAATAATTCTGACTCTGATGGTTTTATTTGGTTTTAACTCAAAATTTGCAGGGAAAGCATGAAGGTCAATTTTCGTTCTGCAACCTAAGCTGCATAACATTACCAAGGGGGTATATATCTTAGGGCAATTAGGCCAAGCCAGTTGCATTCCTGAATGTATATTTAAACTGGCAGTGAACAGGTATCTTGCAGCTATTACAGGTCTGTTTGTATGATGTTCACATTCAATTTGATTTATTTAGAAAATATACCTGTTAATACGAACTGAGTAATGAAAAGCTAAAGTTGCTGTGCTAGTCCTTTGTCTGATGTCTAGTACATTGAGACCTCATCTTGCCTGATAGTTTCAGAAGTTTCAGGAAGAGTAATGCTGATTTCTGGTTTTGATGAATTATGACAATGTGAAGTAATGTGCTTTGAGCTCTGTTGCAACCAGTCGACTTGGAACATCATAGATGATGACTGAAGTGCTTGATTGTTCTGATGTGTTTTTTTCAAATTGTAAATGCTTTAGACCTAGCTTGTGACAAAGCTGTGATGAAAACCTTGCAAACTGGCATTTTTCCCTTCAAATGATGGCATAAGAAATGTTGTTTCTTGAACAAAGAATTGGTGAGTTAGTTTGTATCAAACACTGAAATGGAATTAAAATCTGAAGGTATTCAAATAAATATTTGCAGCAGCACCACATCACAGCAACTCTTAGCAACTGTCCAGAGCCTTCCTATAAAAGGTTCCTTTGATACACTGGAAATTTCTTGCTGATTTAGTTCAAAAGGAAATTAGATTTGACTAGCTCCGTGGGGAGGAGTGAAACTTGAAGGGAGTTTTAAAACTGGTGTCAGGACAGATGCTATGAAGTGATCTTATTTTTCTTTTCAGGAATGTCACCAGAGGAGGCAGCGGACACTGCATTAGACTACATGAAGACACGAGTTGGAGGCCTGGGGGGTGTCATTGTTGTCAACAAAGCAGGAGAGTGGGCAGCAAGGTTCTCCACCAAGCAAATGTCCTGGGCTACTGTAAAGGATGATGAGCTGCATTATGGGATTTATGCTGGGGAGCAGCATGTAAAATCTCTTGGTGATGCGCTTGCAAGTGAGGGACTCCAAGCATGAAGAAATGTTGGCTGAGGAAGAATGAAAATTTCCAATTTTCACTGGAGGACAATGACAGTTGATTTTGTCTTTCTGAAAGATCTGTACTTCTTTGTGGAGTGGCATTGCCACATTTACATTCAGAACAAAATCTGGACGTAGTTCTTTAGTGGACATGGATATATGTGTAATCTTTTACACGTTTATTAGTCAGGAGATCCTCCTTTTCTGGGTAAGAAAGAGAATGGTCAGTAGGTTTCATGGTTAGCATGCCATAATTCTACATTAAAGGGAGCCTGAGTTTCAGTATATTAGAGGAACTCCTTTCCATGCCCATCTTCAGAGATTGCTGCCAGGATGATCTGAGAGATGAATACCTATTAATTAAAACCGAATTTTGAAAATCCGGAGTCTTTTCAGCAGCCCATGATAACAGATTGCTGACTGTCAGCGATGTACCACCAAAGAGCAGTGAAGAGTTAAAACGAAGTGATTGTCACAGGCTTGAAGTAACTGTCAGGGGAAATAATGGAGTAAAGGGAATAACTTTTCTCAGAAAAGGGAAATGTGATGCTGTCCGAGGAACTGTAATTCCATGCACTGACATCAGACCAGAGACCACAACAAAGTAGACTACAATATTTCAAAGTATATGTGGATAGTTAACAGAAAAGATATTGATGTAGTATCTGGGGTAGTAATAACGGCGGTCATGATATCAATAAATATAACAGCAGTCTTTACTACTCAAATGCAAAGGTGATAGGCACCTTTTAAGTCTAAACCTGAGACAGAGAGATGCTGATTAACTAGAAAAATAATTATCTAAAATTAAGTGATGAAAACAAGCTGTACTGAAACAAAAAAAAATTACTCTTACCAAGGTTCTTGTATGCAGTCTGAAACATCTGCAGAGATTGTCTTTTTTAAAAAGAACTGACGTTTTACGTTACTTCTATTACAGTTTCTTCGTTAAGGTTTTGGGGGTTTTTTTCTATTTTCTGACTCAACTATATAATTTTTTTTGTTAAAAACTGTAATAATTTTATGGATTTCAGCTGGTGCCTAGGTTTCCTTTCTGGACAGATTTGTATTTTCAGATTGCATGCCATCATTCTGTGGATTGTTCCTTTACAAGATAGCCCAAATAAACATAAAAATATCTTAAATCAGGGTTTTAAACTACTCATACCTGTGTCCTGCTACAATAAGCCAAGTTACTGAGTCAGCACATACAGAATGGTAGGGTTGCCAGAACTGCCTAACCTGCTCTCTACTTTGATCCATGGTTTCTTAGATGTTGGATATGGGCAGTGATGGTTCAAGAGAAGATGGCACAATCAAAACATAACCTTGGAGTACTCGTGTACATTGTTCAACAGAAGATCATGTAGGAAGTGGCTGCTACCTCATCATCAAACATTCATAAAACAGTATCAGTATTTCTGATGTGCTTATTGGTAGAAAGAAATGGCCTTCCTTTGAGTAAAAATTAATTTATTTCCCCATCTGGGCATAAGATACCAATCCTACAGGGCAAGTTTGTTCTCTGGGAGGGGGCGGGGGGAAAGGGCAGTAGTGGCCTAGCTTCATTTCCAAAATACATCCAAAATATTTGTGATATTTACCTCACCTGTCTATAGTGGAAGATCAAATTCAGGAAACAGAAAATATGATCTCCATGAGTGCGGCCAAAATTCACTTTGCAGCACTGTTTTGATGAAATTGCTCAAATGAAAAAGAATCAAACTTGAAGGATGCTTTGTAGAGCTAAATGGTGATACTGAGGCTTGGATGTAGGCTGTACACAAGAATACAAATATCTTGTTATATACCAGCTTTGTCAGCTTAGGGTCTCTGTGGAAGGCATTTTCCTAATAACATTTCCTTTGCTTGAAGTAGCTGGGGGGAGGAGCATTTAACCAGTTCTGCTGTAACACCTGGTGTACCATCTTTGTTGAGCTCTGTTTATTTGTTAAGTTTTCTGAGTGGATGTAAGCCTGTTCTGGTCACGCTCCAAGCTGACCAAAACCCAAGTGATGGTTAGGGTATCATCAAGCATAAGCTAATACACCTGCTGGGTAGTTTGTTGGCGATGGCTTGGCACTATGCTAGCCCCGACAGTTGGCTTTTGGTTAGCTCTAAACAGGTTCACATCAGCCAAAAAGGTACTGGCAACCACAGCAGCACTACAGACAGGATCTCAGGGATGTCAGAAGGAGTAGTAAATGTCTACTGTGGTTAATTCACCTCATCTGTTCTCAGGAATATAATGTAATAAATTTCTGGCACTTGACAAAGGGCAGTATCCTCTATAGATTCTTCTGTTGCTCATCACCAGACTAGCTGGGCACCTTCCAACAGTGCATTAAGCAGTGTGACTGCCATCTGGTCTGTATGATTTGTTCTGTCTAACCTGCCCCTTGGTAGCATGCTGTATATTCCGTTCTTATGAAAAAGTCTGTTTTTCAAAAACATGCATGGGCTGTTATGCCTTTCCAGTTCATGTGGGTCTGGGAATGAGGAACTGTGCCTTGCATACGAATTGATGACATTTGATAATCCTTAGGCTGCAGTTGGCTCCTCAGTTCAAATGACATCAGCCCAGACAAAGCACTGGTACCAGCATTCAGGGCTACATGCTTTTCTTCCAGCTAGCTGACCAAATCAATGCTCCTCAGTAAAGGTATGTGATTTCCTCACCTAATCTGGACAGCAGGTAGACCTAGGACAGTATTTCTCTTCCTTGTAAGGAGGAATGGTAGCAAATGGTCAGGGATGGGATAGACCTTATTTTTGAAGAAGCTGGAGAGCTAGGGATGAAAGAGTTTTTCTCTCTATTGCTTTACCCTTTCAGTCATGTTCTTTAGCTAGAACAGGATGAGATTTTGTTGCCATGTTGTAAGAAATTGCTGGTGTTGCACAGGACTGGCTAATTTTTAAATATGCTTATGTGTCCCCTGACCTTTGTGAATACTGAGAAATTACCCTTTCTAAGGGCTTTAACATTTAACAGCTTTTATAAATGTAGTTTCAAGATGCTGAACTTAAGGGAGATACCAACAGCAGGATGGGAAGTTGTGTATCCCTGCTGTGCACTGCTGCTGGAAATGAGCCTCTAATCCAAATGGCTGTGACCTGGATATCAAAGAAGGGAAATTAGAGGTCTGTTGCCAAGAAACTGGGTGTCCTTGGCATCTAGCAAAGCAGCAACAGTTTTAATTATCTAATTAAAGTGTGGCATACCATTATTTTATATCATTTAGGAAGTCAGTTGTGAATGTTGTCCTGTTTCCTTCTCAGTACTCTGTAGAAAGGGTTCCCTGACCTGTGCAGGTGGCCATGATGGGTATACATATCAAAGCCAAGACATTAACAAAACCATCAGAGCAGTAATCATTGACTTTGTTCATATATTGTTAGGTCTGTGTGGGTTTTGCTTCCTAATCTTCGCAAGTTACAAGTAATTAAAAACTGTTCTGTAGGACACCAGTGTTTGGAAATTTATTTTTTTTCCAGCATTCTACTTTGTCCTACATATTATCTCTGTGTCTCTGGGGTGGTTTTCATTGACTTTGAAATCTAACTTGGCAAAGTTTAATGGCACTTGCTGTTTTGGTTGTTTCTCTTCTGGTCTGCTTTTCCTTTGATATGCTCTGATAAATATTTGCTGTGGGACAGATTTCAATCTCAGTTACGTCAGCATAAATGAAAAGCAAAAAGCACTGTCACTGAAGTCTGTGATTATGCTAGAGGAAGTGAAATCGGACATGGATTCGCCTCTGTGAAGTTGGTAGCTCTGTATTGAAACAGCCTTTGCTAACAAGGGAGAGAATAGAGATTGGACAGAGAGCCTGTTGCAGAGAGTCCCCGCTTGAGATAGATCTCTTGTCTCTGGCAGTTTCAGGGTGATATGCCCAGGGATATAATTAAATATGCACACTGGGAAACAAATAAGTGTCAAATGATTCACGTGAAAGAATCTTAAGAGCACACAGATAGGGCAAGCAAAGAGTCGTTTTGTTTTAGACATGTAAGCCACAAAGGAGGGGAATCTCATTTTCCTTTCCACTGAACTCCTTACGCTTGGTTTATTGGGGGCACGTAGATACCCTGCAACCTTTGTATAATTGAGTTTTGCCAGACGTGGTCACATGTGCTATAACTTAAATTATCTTTTACATTTACGTTTTTTACATTCTTGCCTTTTGGCCTTTAAATTTCTCCTTGGTTGGAATGAGGCTCGTTTTCTTGTGGATCCTCCCCAAGTCGTTTTTCCACTGAGGACAGGATACGATGCAGTCTGCATGGGCTTTAGCCCTCCAGTCCTGCACTTTTGACCCTTTACTCCTAGGGCTTTACTACAACTTAAGCTATGTAAATGCATGGTAGCATGCAGCTTATTAAATACTCAGCTGGTTCCAGACTTAATGGCTCTGCCTGGTCCTGCCTGCTTAGCAGCATAGCAGGCTGTGTGCTTAGCAACCCCAGCTGCCACAAGTGCATCACCCCCATGCACTGCTTTCCCTGCTGCCTCCCCACCAAATATAGCAAATACTTCCAGCTTTTTCTAATGCTACACAAAACCTTGCTACCACCTGCCAGTTACAGCCTGTGCTAACAACTGTATTGTAAAAGCATCATGAGGGCTGACTAGTATGGCAGACAAAACCCTGGACCATTAGAGGTACTAGGCTCATTTCTGCAAGGACTAATGACTGTAAAACAAATATACATACCAGTAAATGCAGACCCTATTGTTTTAGCACTTGCTTTTTTCTCAGCAATTTCAAAATGCCCGCTCATAAACAGATTCAAGAACAATTCATAAACTGCTGCTCTTTTGGGCTGGAAAAGTGCACAGTTTGCTAGGACATGGGTGTTCTTGTCCTCTGTAGCTGGAAGTCATTTGCTGCATGGAAGAGAGATACAGCCAGTATTTTTCTCCTTTCCTATATTATAGAAGGTAAACTGTGGTGGTGTTGGTTGGTTAATTTCTTTGGTTTGTTGGTTTTGTTTTTTAAAAGCTGAAGAAGGTTATTGTGACTTATCTTTTGTCTCACCTCAGGTAACCCTTCTGAGATCCTTGGAAATGAGTGCAGCTCAGCTAAGCCTCCAGTAAGATGATCACTCAGAAATTATGATGTTGGGGAAAACGAGTGGAAACCCAGCACATTTTCAAGGGTTTTTGAACCCAGAAGAAATCACAGCTACTTTCTAATCTTTCTTCCTAAATCAACAGGCCATACGAATGTCCTTCTCTCTTGTTATTTCTGCATTAAGCAAATAACTTCTGTTGAGGTGTGGTCTACTCCTGCCATGGACAGAATGAAAATGAGGATATTCTCTGAAAGAAAACAGCTGAATCATTTTTTAAGTAATTCTGTTTTAACAGATTGAAAAAAAAAAAAAAAAAAGGGGGAGGCAGGGAAAAAGATAGTATTATGGCAGGCAGATACCCTTGTGGCTTCTGGGTTTCTACCAGGCTGTGCAGCAAGCCTCTATGGGGCAAGGGCATCTGCTAGAAAACAGACCTGACATTTCTAATCCTAAGATACATGGTATGTATTTTCCTGGAGACAAAGTCCTGCATGTAATGGTAATATTTATATAACAATTCAGGTCTTCAAAGAAGTGCACAGAAGCTGTGAACTGATCTGCACAACTCTTCAGTGGAGTTTATTATATTTGAACTGTTTTATCTCTGGTAAGCACGCAGGGAGATTAAACAACTACTCTGGAGCCACCAAATGCATCTGAAGTAGGGCCAAAATTAGAATATTGATTTCTGGCCTCCACAGTCCCAGGCTCAGCTCACTACATTATGTTGTCTTTACAGATAATGTTTAAACAAATAGATCTTGACATATCCAAAGCTCAGTAGCCTGTCAGTAAATTTAGCAGAGCTTTAGCTGTTCAATTCCTATGATTTGTGCATGCCTCACACTTGGTCCCAAGTAATGTCAGTAGCTACTGTATATTTACAGAGAACCCCACTTGTATCCTGAAGCATACTAGACTTTTTTTTTTTTATCTCTGAGTAGAAATAAGCCTAATTATGATATATTTTGCTCTTGTCAGAGCATTTGCACTTACGTTACCTCAAAGAAATTTTGCATCAATCCTCTTCAAAATATCCCCACAATGGTAGAGATTCTCAGTCCTGACCAACGGTAGCTTGTGGATCTTTCTAATTTCTTGAGTAAGAAGTCAGAAAAATGGGAAAAGTCCTGCAGGCCCAAAATTCAAATCCAAGTACTTTTAATGAAAGCACCACATACCAAGCACACTTGGTTTCTGATACCCAAATGCCAAAGAAAAGGCAAGTATGTACTTGAAAGCTGAAATAAATTCTGCACAGAGAATAACTCAGGTATATTTGTATCAGAAAACTTGTCTCCCCGTACCCACAGAGGTGTGAGAATATTGTTATTGCTACAAACCAGAAA